TGCCATCACCAGTGTGTGAATGCGTGTGTGGATGACTGGATGTGTAAAGCGCTTTGGGGTCCTTAGGCTAGTAAAGCGCTATACAAATACAGACCATTTAAACCTGTTGTGATGTATGCTTTGGACATGGTGGCAAAGCTGGACGTGGCAGATTTGAAGATGTTAAGATTTTCATTGCAATGAAATGTACATGAAAGGAGAGCTTAGGTGGAGTTGTTTGGACTCAAAGGTAGAAGACAAGACAAAAAATAGTCTGAACATGTCCAGAGGTGCTATAGTGTATATATTAGGCAAAGGATGTTGAACATAAATCTGCCTGCAACAGGAAAAGAGGAAGACACCAGAGCTTCATAAATGTGGTCAAGGAAGACATGCAGAAGGTTGGTGTGACAGAGGACCCCAAAAGGTGGTAAGTAAAAAATGATTTATTATTTTTATTATTATTACATGGATTCATTATTTTATTTTATGTTTACATGGCCTCCCTACAAGCCGAGCAATTACGTCTCACGGCCACAAGAGGGCAACGTTGGACGTTTGTTCTGCTGTGGCGTTTTTGCTCGTTGGCCTGTGTAGACCCGCAGGTGTGCTGCAAATTACCCAACAAAGCAAAACTCAGGCGCTCACACACAAACGCCACCAAAGCACTGACGGGTGGTGACAGTCTCATCTCACAGGATCTCCATCTAGGGTGTGAAAGTCGTAAGGATGTAGGTCACTCTGCGTCTTGTTTTGATATCTCGTTTCAAGCGATAACCATCTTTGAGCTCACACAATCAAGCACACTTGACTGTCGTGTTTTGATGACGCCATCACTGGGACTTTCCGGATACGTCACTAGGGGCTTCCGAGTTATTTAGCTAGCTCTGCCGCTGTGTTCATGTCGTTTAGCCGTGTAAACGTCGCTGCGTCGGTCTGGAGTACACAGCAAGAAGAACATGAACACCCCGAAGGCTCCTAAGAGCCACAAAGAGTGTGACTGTTGAGACTTCGTCGCCAGGAACGACGGTGTGAGAGAGGCAGAATGTCAACAACGCGGCCCCTCCTCGGAATGAGACGAGTCACCGAGCTAACGTGCCCGGAGCAGCCAGGCAGCAGGCTGCCTGCGTCCGCCGGCAGGCAGCAGCAAGAGAGCCCGACAGTGGACGAGTTTACGGTGCTGGAGGATAAAGAAGATGAGCTTAAATGCGCCAAACCGAGAGTGGAGCAGGTTTTTAAAGTAGCGTTCACCATTATCGGCTTGCTGGACCACACAGGACAGTCGCACGGCAACAAAACATTACGGCAGATATGGCTGCAGCTCAGAGGCAACAGAGAAGACGTGTCGAAGGCAAAGGTAGGATCTTAAAAACGCTTTCGCTTGCATTTCTGTGGCGAAGCCAGCAGACCAGTCTGAGAACAAGGCTGTCATTATTTTAAGAGCCGTCAGCTGCTGTCATTATTATTTTTTAAATCAAACACAGTGCTGACTGTGCCCCTCAGTGTTGGTGCAGCTCAGAAACACGTCTGATTTGTACAATCTTATATTTGGCAGATCACATATTAGGGTTTAAATATATTCGTCAGGTGTGCAGATGGATAGCTAGTTTAAAGTCGTAATAGTGAGCGATGTAAAAGACAACATTTATGGCATCTCATCCTTTCCATCACAGAAAATATGAATGATGAAATATGACCTATTCATTTTGCCCAGATAGCTAATGAAAGTAACACTACTCATAACGCTCATAAGATGATATCGCAATATTTACGCAGTGGTATCTTGTCAAATGTCATGACATTTGCTTTCATTAGTTTATTGTTGGACTGCGGAGTAGACAGCCACAAGCAGTTGGCCACACTGTCTGTCAGATATGTTAAACAGGCCATCTCGGTTTCACAATGATTTTTAGGTGGGGTTGGATACAATGTTTGTTAACTAGTTGCTATTTGTTTTAACCAAAACAAAGGCTGAAGACTCCCTTTCATGTGTCTGTACAGCCATGAGAAAAAAATACTGAGCTGTTATTAAGGGTGGAGTCTGAAGGTTATATAAAAATACAGTACAATCACAATAGAGTTACTGTACAGGCAAGTGTGTGGGCGTCTACCTTACTACACAACCTGAAGGACAACAGGCAAAATATGTTAGATATTAATGGGCTGCTGCTGAGAGCTCAAAGGTGTAAGAAGGTGTTTTATTTACAAGTCAAACATGAACAGCCACAACTGCAGCAGAATATCATTAGTTTAGCATTTAGTTGTTTAATGCCTGGAGCTGAGTAAACATACATAATAGTTTTTTTTCTCCATCACTATTATTATTATTATTTATTCCTGTAGTCGTATGTCTAGCTTCAGAACTTTAAATATTTATTTTCAAATTGTTGTTAGTTTGTTAGTTTTTAT